CATGCTTTGATGTTTACTGTGCTTGTATGTGCATTTAGATTATGGTACATAAACAGTAATTTTTATACCAGAGAGAAAAAAAAAAAAAAAAAAACAACAGGCTAGACAACTTCCAAATGTATATAATTAAATGGGACAGTATACAAGGTCTTCTGATTATAAGAGCAACCAGATAAAGGAATTAAAGTTGAACTGAAATAATAACATAAGTTACATATTTTTTGCAATCAAACCAGACAATAATAAGTTGTTAATTGAATACTAACAACAGTCAGTGGGTCACTGAGCCTCTCTTTGACATCAGCAGATCTCATAGGTGGTACAATGTTAGTTACATCAGGCCTCTGCTGGGGTACAATGTTAGTTACATCAGGCCTCTGTGCTGGGGTACAATGTTAGTTACATCAGGCCTCTGTGCTGGGGTACAATATTAGTTACAACAGGCCTCTGCTGGGGTACAATATTAGTTACAACAGGCCTCTGTGCTGGGGTACAATATTAGTTACATCAGGCCTCTGTGCTGGGGTACAATATTAGTTACAACAGGCCTCTGTGCTGGGGTACAATATTAGTTACATCAGGCCTCTGTGCTGGGGTACAATGTTAGTTACAACAGGCCTCTGTGCTGGGGTACAATGTTAGTTACATCAGGCCTCTGTGCTGGGGTACAATATTAGTTACAACAGGCCTCTGCTGGGGTTATTTGAGAACTGAGTAGTTACCTACCAGCAGCTAATGTGGTTCATCCATCACACATGAGGAAGTCCACTCTTTCTTTCATCTAGCAAGAAACTATAGTTATTTACTAGATACACACTGTTCATGATAACAATCGATTGGTCAGGAAGATCAGCATCAATTGCAAGTTTCAACTTATTGCCATGAATATAATTTCACATACAAGCTGTAACTTGTACGTGCAACATGCAAGGTTGCCACACATTATACAGCATACAACCATTACTGGTTGGCACTGTTACAGACGACAGTGTTATATTGTGCTATAGTAAGACATGGAAACAACAACCCTTGATGACAGCGAGTACCTCCTCTACATAGCACACTGCATGAACAGCAAAGTAGAGAGCATATATTGCCCATGTATCATGATCCCCTCTTGGCCTGCCTTGTTTACTTCCAGGGAAAGATAACACCAATACATCTCCAGCAAAGCAGGCTACAAAAGCTGGTAGATCAGAAAGAAGATCAATCCTGTCTTCATTCCTGGTAGAACTTTCATTCTAGACTGGCTGCCAACTAAGGCTAAGGATCTGTTCTAATATTAGGTTTTCAGGTTTCATTTCCTGTTCCTAGGATAAGGCTAGTCTCCTGCCCCAGTGCACTCCTCCACAATAGTCAGACTGGTATGGTGGGGCTAATATTACAGATCTGAAAGTGACATACATGCATGATGAACCAAATGTAAAAAAATGATTACATTGTACAGTGTTAGGTGATTATAAAATGACTGAATGTGAACACAGTTGGGAGATAAAGACAAACTTACATCTTGGGTGTACAGCAGTTCAATACATACTCTGATATCTACATGTAATATAGATCAACAGATGGCTAAAATGTACTCAAGCCTGTTATAAATGTACAGAGAGAACTCAAAGGCCCAACCAGAACACCTGAGAGGCATGGTTTCAAAATGCCTTTGATCTTGCTCTTGATCATTTGATTCTCCCGCATGGCACAAAGTGTACATCTGATGCACATACAAGCTCCTATTCTCTACATTTCTCATGTCTACCTGCCCTGAACTGTTGAGTTTTTATATTAATGACATAAACAAGTAGACAATATCTGTAAACAGTGCTAGTGAAATCACATCACAGTCTCACTGTTTATCAGCAGACGAATGTCTTCAAGCATTAAAAAAATAATTAATTCCCATTATTGTTATTAAATATAAAAAATTGCATACGTAAGATTATTCAAAACATCTACAGAGCCCACAGCTCAGGAATCATATTCCTGCTAGTAAAATATGACGTAAACAACATATGATCTCTGGAATGCACACAGAGCATCAACAAACAGATCCCTATACAGCTGAAACATCAGATCCTTGTGTGGGTTCAAGGGTCCTTGTGGGGGGGGGGGGGGGGGGGGGGTGGGGGGGGGGGGGGGGGGGGGGGGGGGGGGGGGTGGGGGGGGGGGGGGGGGGGGGGGCGGGGGGGGGGGGGGGGGGGGCTGGTGGGGGGGGGGGGGTGGGTTTATTAGCTGCCTCCATAGGCATATCATAAAATGCAACAAATTAGGGGCTTTCCCTTCACAGTTGAAGAGCATCTTCCTGACAAATTAAGGGCTTTCCCTTCACAGTTGAAGTGCATCTTCCTGAACTGACAACCTGCATATAAAACAAGCCAGATCTGTCAAAAAGATATGCAGGCAAAACTCAATCCGGAACTTTCTGCTGGAGTTTATTACAGCTGTTGAACGCTCAGGAGAAGAAACAGAAATGCCCCAAATAAGATTAGCCATCTAAGGCTGATGTTGACCAAACCCTCAGTGCCTATTGATTTTAATTAAATTTAGACTGAGCACCATATACCTGATACATCAAAGCATGAAAAGAGTCCTTCCTGAAAGTAGCCATTAGAATACGAGAAGTCAACCAATGAAAATAGAAAACTGTGCACTGCAGCCCCTACTGGTGTAGTTCCCATTACTCGTAAAACTCGGTGATTGTAATTATTAGTTCTCTGTATTTGCTGAAGGATTTTTTCTGTACAGTTCTGAACATTCACTTTGCAATAACTGAAAGAATTATCTCTTGTTCTCTAAATGTCTGCAAGGAATTATTTGAACCGACAAGTAATCAAAGGTAACAAAGATATTATGTTATAAATATAAACTGTTATTGTTGCATTAATAAAGACATAAAATCAACTTCAACACTGAATCAAGAATGAATACACATTTAATAAGAAACATCATTCTGTTTGTTGACAAAAAAAATTGTGCAGTACACAGTATCAATATATATATATAATTATACACTGTTAAATGCAAAGAGGAAATAAAATATGCTGTACCTTTGACATATTATGCTCAAACTGGTTGGACAGTCTTAACAAAACTCCAGAGATTAATTATTCTTAATTTCCAAACAAAACATATAGTCAGGACTTTTAGCACTGTACCTCACTAACTGTGGCTTTATATTTTGTGAATAAGCCAATTTAAAATAAAGTTGGAAGCTCTACGACATAAACCATTTGCCCTGTGCTCTGATACTGTGTGTTTGCTCGCAGACTTTGCCTTTGGTTAAAGTGTCATTTTTAAGGACAGTCCTGAGCATCACTGCTACAGAGTTCAAAACTTTGCCCAGCACTGGTGGCAGGCGGCTCGCCATTTTGCAGAGCCATGTGGAATCAAACCTGGTGCAGTGAAGTCAATCCTCTTGCCTCTAAATCTTATACAAGTAAAAGTAAAATGGAGATCCAGCCAAGCTGAAATGTGTTAAAGCTTCTAAAAGTTGAGACTTGAGTCAAAGTCATCAGTGCTGAAGCTGGCACTGCACAGGGCACTGTAGTTCACAGACAATGCTGACTTTTTTGTCCTTACTTTACAAATAGTAACTGTTTCATTAACGCTGGTCCTAGTGGACAACACAACTTTTCTAGTCAGCAGATTTGCCTTACCAAGGAAAAACACATATCTTACCTGTCCAATAAAAAATTAGCATACCATTTTCACTTGAAACTCGATACTTTATTGTATAGCCTGATAAACTTCACAAAACAATACAAAAAAGAACAATTAAGGGTCATGCTCTTCAAGGCAATGACAGTGCAAACAAACTTCTTCACACAGAACAATTACTTATTTAGCCTACATTCGTCAGCGGAAGAACTATCCATAAGGCTGCTCAAGTTGCTGGTATCAATAAGAACACAGCGAGGCACATAATCAATGCCTACAGACAAGAAGGTGCCATTTGCCAACAAAACTGAGAGGTAAACAACAGAAACTCAACTGTCAATGTCCTGCAACACATCAAAGACAACACTGAACTGTACAGTATCCCAGGGATACTTTGGTGCAGATACAGCAACTGCTGAAGTAGAATGGGACTGACTACAATTTTCCATGCTATCAGAAAGTTATAGATCACAGTGAGGAAATGCCACTATGAGCTTGAACACACCAACAGCACCACCACAACGATGGCAAACCTATGCTCTCGACCTTTCAGCTCACACGTCACAAGGCAAGAAATGCATTTCATTGATGACAGTGGATTCAACCATTTGTGATGGACGCAAGAAGAGCGTCATGCTCAGACATAATCCCGCCAACAATGAGAGGCCATGTGGTGATGTTAATTGTTGTTATGAATAACCATGGCATAGTTTCCTAAAATTCATCAGTGATATCAGGAAGAAGTTGAATGTTGCACGGCTGATAATGTACAGGTGAAAGGACAGAATACACAAGCCAGATGATCTATGGAGGCTCCCGGGCTCTTCCTACCATCTAAAATTCCTGTCACCTTACTCATGCATGCTGAGCGTGGTGGAAAATATGTTCTTGAAGGTTAAGACATAAGCAAGGCACCTGCTGAGCAACTGAATACTCGACCAGACACTAAGCACAGTCACTGAACAGACTTTTGGGTTGGTAATACAGCAGGACTGCACGAATCACATCCTTGAAATTATGAATCTGACAACAACAACAGCAGGACAATCTTTCAGAAACTGATAATTTTGTTGTCACTTTCTTTCTTGTAAACTGCTTATGTTTAATGTCAAAATGAATCAGTTTGCTGGTGAAGAAGTATAAACTGTTGAAAATTAACTGAGTGTTTGAATCGACAATTGTCCAATCTGATTTGAAAAACATCCATTTTGGTCTAAATAACATCTAGTTTAAAGTAAAAATAGTAAATTCAAATTTCAAACAAGGAAATATTTTTCTGAGCCTAAAAAATATATCAAGTCAAACAGCAGCAGAACAGGTTGAGCACAATCTTGGCAGTCTGCAGTCTACTTCATAATAGAGCATCTGGCAACCTCCTGAATAAAGAAAAGAAATGGCTTCATTTACAAAGAGCAAACACATCACAAAAATATCTTGTCACCTCTTTGGTGCTATGTAACAACTTGCGGCATAACTTTTGTTGTGTTCACCCTTAAAAGGGCTGTTGGCATACTGTGTTGTGGTTTACAGCTAGGCTGCCAAATATGTGCCTTTCCTTCCAACAGATCTGATTTCAGTAAACCCTTACTGAGGCACAACTGTTAGGGAGCAGGGAACCTATTTATTCTTTTCCCTCAAAACGGAGCCCTGAAACACGTTCGGGAGTTGCTCAAACTGACTGACAGGACAAGGTGACTGACAGGACAACGTGACCAACAGGACAAGGTGATGGACAGGACAAGCTGACTGACAGGACAAGTTGACTGACAGGACAGTTACTGACAGGACAAGTTGACTGAAAGGACAAGGTACTACTAAGTCATAGTTCACTATATACAAACACAAAACTATAGGGACTGCATGTGATGATGGTCAGCTGACTGCTGCATCAGGAAAACAAAGACAAGAAAGAAATAATAATAAATAATAGAATTAGGCAGTATGTGCTGAGGTGATACAGCTGCCTTCATCAATCAAGCCCTGGCTTCTTCATTCATTTCTCCACAGTACTCCTTCAGTCTTTCTAATATACCTTTATTTTTGGTATGGTACCTGCCATCATTTATAATTTATTACATGTAATGATGGTCTGAATTACCCCCCCCCCCCCCCCCCACCACAATTCACCCATGGAAAACCTTAAAAAAATGCAGGTCACTAATACATTTTTAAAATAAAAGTTAAAGGGAGTACTGAATAAATAAACAAACGAGTGGAGAATCAAACCATTTCTTTCCCTTGCACCTAATATACAATTTATTAGATGACTCATATCGTGACCTTTGACCTGATTACTTATGACAAAAGGAGAATTATGATGCCCTAATGACTAACAACACAATAAACTGACCACCCTCTTTAAAATACTCAGTAGAAATAACCATATTCTGGGCCCCTGAACACTGTAGGCACACACACACACACAAAGAACCAATGACTAGGCTTGTTGGGGATTGTCCAACTCAGCAGTGGTGATCTAGGGCCTCCCTTGAGATAGGACATGGACAGCAATGCTGAATTAGGTACTTTACAGAGCCAGCAGTTATAGTTTTGATTTCCTTGAACATGTCACCATTCTTTCCTGGCAACCAAAGGTAATCTGTTTTATCACAAGTTTGTACCTATTCATTTCAAACTGTTTCTTCTCCAGTGATGCTTTCTGGCTGTTTACTGTGTAGTTTTTGAAAATAAGACCATTTCTATTCCTTTTTACAGAAAGTGTTTCCCCTTTTATTAGCCTAGATGAATTTCTGTGATATTTCTCTGCAACTGTTTTTGGAATCATGTTTGTGTGCGGAAAATGTCTCTGGCATGTATGACTATTTCATCATGTGTCATGTCATAAACTGTTATCTCCTTGGAATCATTGTTTACGTCAATATATTGACAGGTATTGTGTCAGACAGGACCATTCACACACATTAAACAGAAGCTTAGACATAATGTACCTTATTCTTACTGATGAAATTACTCCAGTCTTTTTCAGCAATTCTTGGAATTGCATGCAAAAAAACTTTACAAGCCTTCGCTGCATTGTCTTTGAAAGTCTTGACTGCAAGCTCCACATGAACCTGTTTGGAACAACATTCAGAGGCAACAGTCATCAGCTTTTCTACCAGACAGCATGTTCTTGAACGTCAGTCTCCCCATGTGGGTTCCGCGGCCCCACAGTGATGAAAACAAGAATTGACCCACTGCTTACCCAAAAAGCATGTCGTATAAGTCGACTATTTGGGAACTTCCTTTAAAATCAGAGTATCTGCCTGAGAGATGAGGAACCAACAGTCGGCATACTAATAAGTCATACCTATAAAATGGATGGGCATGCAACACTCAGGTTCTGGAAAAGGATTAGAGTCAAGAAGTGGACAAAGAACCAGAACTTGTCACTAGAGTTTACAGCCATTGTATGTAAAGAAGAAGGATATCAGTCAGCTCTCTGACACCAGAACTTTGCATTTTCGGTATTAAGTTTAGCTGAACTCCAATTTTTGTCCATGCTAATATTCATCTTTTCTTGCAAAATTTGCTGTGTTTCTTTGTTGGAATTTTTGTTTCAAAAAGTCAATATTCGTCCTTCCTCCGATACGGCTGGTGAGTCACCAGATGAAAAAAAAAGAGATTAAGATGGGCCGGTTGCAAGTGCTGAAATTAAGGAATGGCGCAAAAATGCAGGTTTTCATTGAGAAAGTGCACCCAGACATTGCTACAGTTAATCAGCGTATATATTCATTTGATGATGATGTGTTTGTACACTTTCAGAACATTTAAAAAAAACCAGAATAAAACAAAGAACACTGGATAATATCTTAAAAATGATCAGTGCTGGTGCTTCGTCCGGAAGTGCTGATGAATCAAACATTACCTGATGTCAGAATGGAAGGTGACTTCCCTTGAAAACAACATCTATTGTTTTGTCTTGCAATAATAAGTACAGCGGTTAATATGTAATTAAAATATATTTGTAATGATTTCCAAGATCGATTTTTGAATGACATTTTTGTTGTTAAAGAATAAATGGACACAATTTCAGGCTAGGAACATTTTAAACCATTTTTAGTTAATTCCTATGGGAAAAAACTTGTTTGATATTCGTCCTTTTTAGTATTCATCCTCTCCCCAGAAACAGAGAAATGACAAACACTGGATTTCCACAGTAGTTTTTAAAAAATCTAATTAATAATATATGGCACAAGACAGGATTATGTCATATAAAAACTGGTGAAAAGCTGCAGACCTTTAAAAAAAAAATACAGAAACAGACGCTGCATCACGGATCAGATTTTTCTGATCAAAGGCTGCCAAATATTGGGGGGAAAAAATATTTCTTTTGAAAGAGATATTTCAGTGGTCACCCACGAACCTGAAGTATTCAGTTTTATTACTTTGTGTCAATAAAGTTATTTTTTGCAAGTTGTTTTGCAAGATAAGTCACATTAGAAAATGTTCAACAACACTCTGAAGGGTTTCTGAAGCCAACTTGGGCTCTCTCTGATTCATGCAGCTTAAACAGAGGTACTTAACAAAACACGATATAGAGGGGTGGAATCCATACAATAAGCCAGGTTTTGTGTCTATGAAAGGGTATGTGATATACACTTATACATGTGACTTGCGTGGTTAATGAAGATGTTTCTACAGAAATCTTTAGAAAATAAACAGCACTTCTACAAGGTGTTAACAGGTAAGCGCAATCAAGATTGTAACTTCCTCTTGCTTGTTCATGGATTTACACAAGGCAAAATATGAAAGTGAAACTTAATAAGTGAATACACTCGCTGTGAACATGCTTGATACTCATAACAAATCACACAAGAAATCATAGAGAAAATGCTTACAGCTTCATAGTCATCTCTCCAACTGTCATAATCTGTCACCAAGGCAAGTGAGGCATACAGAAGACCTGCTTCTTTAGCTAGCACAACCTGGCAAATGACACACCTTATATATATATATATATATATACATATATAATCAGATTAACATCATCACGTGTTATGGAGGTCACATTTTACCATCTTACACGATCACCAGAATGATGGATGAAGTCAGTGTTTTTGTCTCCCCCCATCCATGTGGCTAAGTCATGCAGGTATTTATCTCTTTCCTTCAGTCTTGCCAGCTGTTATCAAGTTGTCCATTTCTTCTCATAAAATGTCCAAAAAACACTGTGTATGTCTAATGGTTATATTAGTTTGTGACTTTCATCTGTCTCAATGAGGACTACTTCCATTTTTTTAAATACTCCACGATATTCCTTTCAATCTTATCAAAAACCACATCTCTTGATATGAGTAAATGTTTAGCGGCTTACCTTATTATTGTCCATGTCTCACATGCATATGACAACACAGGTTTTACACAGGACTTTAACACTCTTGTTCTAACAGCAATGGATATCTTACTGATGAGCATCTTGCTAAAGGCCACTTTTGCCACAGTGATTCTTATTCTTGAATCAGATGTTATGATTGTTCCAAGATGGTTGTATCTGTTGACTTGCTTCAGTATCTTGCAGTGTGCACTACTATTTCACACACTGCTATTTTTTCATGGAGGTGTGACCATAATTTATGTTTTCTTACACTGTAACTCTAAGGCTAGTTTCTCACCATGAACTACTACTGCATTCACTAAACACTGCAGATTCTCCAGAATAACACTTACACAGACAAACAGGAGATCTCACCCCCTGGACAGTATGTTCACAAACATACAGAGTGTTGAACATACAAATAGGCTATTTCACATTGTGTCACATAGTTAAAGAAGATATATCACTTCTGGACCAGTATGTCCACAAAATAAAAATTAAACCAAACATTTAAACAGAAGATGTCCCCTCTGGGACAGTATGTTCACAAACATACATTGTGTCACACAGATAAACAACATATACCACTTCTGGAACAGTGTGTCCACAAACTACACAATACCAACATACAAACAGCATATCTCACCTCTGGGAAAGTATGTTCACAGTTTCATCCATACAAACAGAATATCTCACCTCTGGAACAGTATGTTTACAAACATAGTGTCAAACATACAAACTGGATATCTCACCTCTGGAACAGATTGTTCGCAAACACAGTGTCAAACATACAAACAGAATATCTCACCTCTGGAACAGTATGTTTACAAACATAGTGTCAAACATACAAACTGGATATCTCACCTCTGGAACAGATTGTTCGCAAACACAGTGTCAAACATACAAACCCAGGAAGTTAAAGCCAACAAATGCTCGATGAAGCTAGATGTCTTGGCCAAAAGATGCAATTATCGCAGCAGTGCTGTAAAGAGGTCGCTTACAGGAACGAAAAGAAGAAGAAACAAACAAACATGATATCTCACTTCTGGGACAGTGCTCATGTTCACAACATCAGCTCTCCACTGTCTCCACAACCTGCTCTCAGCACGAGTTGAGAATCGGGGTCCTTCGATGGTGATCATAGTCCCCCTCTCCCGAAAAGAGTATCCTAAAGATTTAATGCTTGCTGCCAACATCTACAGGAAGGAAACAATAAACAAAATTAAAGAAGCATAATAATGCAACAAACAGCAACAATAAAATCAGAATCCTGATCCACCGGATAACGATAGATATGCTGTATAAACTGCCCAAGAGAGTTGGAGCATAGGCCAAGGAAATGAACTATGGGCTTTTTTTGTTACTAGTCATCAGTTAAGTTTCTGTTAACCTAGTAATATACAAACAATTATTTTTTCTGTCCATTTCTCTCACCCTCTAAACATTTTATGCCTCATGAATTCCAGAACAGAAACCACTCAGTTAATGCATTTGCTTTCTCAACATGTCATATAGGAATTTCAAATTTACAAATGTTAGAATACAGGCAGTTTTTTAATGCTATTGGTTTCCTTAGGATATATTCTTGAAAGTGCAGGCTTAAAAATACTAGATTAACAATTGTTGTTTTATGCCATTAGTTTCCTTATTATGTGTTCTATGAGCTACAAGCTTACAAATAAGAGAACAAGGGTAGTTTCCTAAGCTACTAGTTTTCTCAAGTTCTGTTCTATGTGGTGCAAAGGGACCTGTTTCAATAGGAACTGTCTGGACAATATTTAAAACAAGCAATCAGATGTTATACTGGTAAGAGATGCATTCTGAAAATACAGCAGTAGACTAATTATAACCATAATCCAGGCCAAAAAAAGGAGACAACTAATTAGGAGTGTTTTGTCCAAGTAAGAGTGCATCTGCCTCAGAGGCAAGGAACCAACAGTCTGCATAAAAATAAGCCAGAACTGTAAAATGGATGTGCAATCAAAATTCAAGTTCTGGATCAAGAGCAAAGTCCAGGAATGGAGGAACGAACAGAACTTTCAACTGCAGTGAATGCTAAGAAGAAGAAGAAGAAGAAAATGTTATATTCCCACTATGTGTGTGTAAATAAACAGGAGTGTGTACACGGCCAGATGTGATACTAGAATAAAGTTTAGAAAAAGTGTGCAATGATGAGGACAATGTTAAATGTGAAAGAGATGGACTGGGAGAAAGCCAGTATGAGTGCAGTATGAAGATAAAGAAAACAGGCTCTACAATATTCATTACAGACCTTTGATGCAAAGGAAAACTAATGATACTGATGATACTAAAAGATGGCTACTTAGGATGGCCACTTATCTTGGAAAAATGGTCATGTGTGCACAAAGTACTCATTAACAATCCTAGCACAATGAACAATGAAAAAGACTAATCATTACATGCAGCTGCCTTTGCAGAATTTAAAAATGAGAAATAGCGCACACAACAGAATGCTATGCCTATTTTGGAATGAACGTGGTCCTTTACAACCCTCAGATACACTCACAGAGTCAAGCAACTTGTGTTCATGATGGCTGCTCTCTGTGGTGATCAATGTTCTATACACTTAAGGGTGCAGTACTCGGTTCAACTGCAAGGCTGAAGTGCTCAGTGTTAAATTTTGTAACCACTTACAGAGTGTCATTCTCATTGTTCAAGAAAACTACAGAACTATCTACCAACACCTCAGTTAACATTAAGTACATAGACATGAGTGCTGTTAGACAGAAACATAGCCATAAACTATTCTAGGATACTTACTGTCCTCAACAATGGGCAAAATGGTTCATTCATTGGAACATGGCTGATGCCCTGGAACTCATTCAGGGTGCCATCATAGAAGGACTGCTTTCGTTTTGTTGTCCTTCAAGAGAATAAGGTCAACAATGATTATCCTGTCTGTAACAAACGAATACTGCACACTCAATCAATGTTTTAACAACTAAAGATCCATGTACACATAATTGTTTTGTGTAAATGGAAGTTCTGTAACTGTTCACTTCTAAACAAATGCCATGACCAAAAGATGTATATTGTAAATATACTGTAAAAGATCTTCCTTTTCTTTGTGAGGTAACACGTGTAACGATGTTCATGTGAGCCAGATTTTGTTGCCTGGCTGTACAAAAAGTCACTGCAAGAAAAGCTTGAGCTACAACTAAAAAGATCAGATGAAAAGGGGTAGAGGCAGACCAAGAGAGATGATGCTGGATGGGCTAAAACGATGGCATGGAGGGATATCATCAAGAGAGCTGTTCCAAGCAACCAGGGATAGTGATTTGTGGAGACACATGAGTGCCTATGCTAGTTGGCAAATCACATGATGATGGTTAGTTGCGTATCCTTTACAGGACTTTGCAGAACCAACCCCATCAGCCCCTGGCTGTTGTGTGGTTTCACTAGTCAAATTTATGTCCAGTAGTTTGCCATTGCTTTCTGGGCGGTCAGCTCCCTGATACCACTGTCGAAACCAACGCAAGGCATATGGCCCACAGCTGGGATCGAACCCGGTACCCCGGCATTACGAAGCGTTCACATCGACTTAGCCACAGAGCTGACACATGATGATGACAGGCCTGAAATAAAAAAAAAACACTGGAACCTGAAAACAGGTTGTAACTTCATGGGAGCATTAAGATGGAACAAATGGCAACTTCTCCACCCATGTGACACTCTTGAACTAAAATCTCTCTCTAATGAATTACACAATGTAAATACTTCAAGAAGAGAGAACAATTTATTTCTACTCCAGCCTTTAAGTGGTGAAGCAAAGCTGATTGTAAAGGAGATGAAAACAGTTTCATCATCATCATCAAGCACCATGTCAATGCACATGGATGATCAGCTCACAAGCTGACAAGTCACAAATCAGGATTGTAATTTTTGGCCAGGGCATCCAGACAGTTCCTTGAGTAAAAAATGAGCATGATGTGGCCGATGGCTGGAACTAATGAACTAACAACAGGGAAGGAAACAGAAGCAAGGAGGTACCAGACAGACCTGCCCAGGAAGAAGACCAGACAGATCTGCCCAGGAAGAAGACCACTTTACAATAACCCCCCCCCCCCCCCCCCCCCCCCCCCCCTAAATGCAATGTAGCAACAAGAAGTGAGATCCATGAGTGGAAATTAGCACAGTTCAAAATTTCCTCTGAACTAATAACCCTAGTGAAGACAGATTGTAATAAGGAAAGTTAAACAGGCTAAAAACCATTGTTAATCATCAAGGGTTATAAGTCAAGATCTTGCAAAGACACAGAATAGAAAAAATGTATTAAAATGTCTGTAGATTGTGTTTACAATTAACATGTAAACTACTGACTTACCTGTCAATAAAGTCATCAATGAGAACTATATCTCCGGGGTGGATGCTCTCTTGCAGTGACCCACAAGCTGTGGTTACAACCAGGTGAGTACAACCCTCCTCCTTCAGAGCCCAGACATTAGCTCTGTAGTTGACAGCTGAGGGTGCTATGTCGTGCTTCCTGCCATGTCTGCAACAGCAAGGATCAGTTTCACAATTTTGAGTCAGTTCACTGTATCTTGTAATAAATCTACTCAATTCTGAAATAATTTCTCTCCACATTCCTTGTTTTCTGAATGCATTACTATCACACACTCATGGTGTAAGTGATCATCTTCATTTCTCCAGTAGGACAAATTAAGCAGAGATCGCAGGTTAGCACAACTCCAGGATGTCATGTGTCTCCTCAAACTATTTGACACAAACTGCACGATGCAGGATTCTGGGCACCAATGATCTCACTGGGGACCTGTCCTTACGCGCCACCATTTCCACAATCAACTTCTTTCAGCCAGCCAGCATCATTCCTGTGTAGCCAACAATAAATAGAGATGTATCTGGTTCAGTAAAAAATCTTTCTTTTCATGCAGCGTCATGCTAGACAGTGTAGGGTATAATGTAGGCAAAATTAACATTTAGCTCGCAGTTGTGCTGATGAAGCTGTGTCACACGGTAGTGGAGATGTATGGGGAATGATCAGTTACAATGCAAGGAGCCAATTGATGTGCACAGAAGGACATGTGATTGCACACAAATAAGTCAATGAAATTCTTCTACCCCTATGCCCCTCCATTTTAGGATGTAGAAAGGTTTATTTTTCAACAGGACAATGCCAGATCTCATCTTGAACGGTTGACCACACAACTGGTGACTGCCAACAACATTCTCCCCCTTCCATGTCTGCATTTACAAGTCCAACTGAGCACCTGTGGAAGGAGGTGCACAGACGTCTTTGTACCAGCCAATTGTCCTGATTTGTTCCAGGTACTCCAGGAAGCCTCCAAATGGCTAACATCAGACATTGGATGACATCCATGCCCAAGAGATGCCTGTCGCTGAACGAGGAAGTCACAAACCAGCTGATGGGAAAGCCCGTACCCAGATGCAAAAGAACTTTCATTTTTGATCAGTTGAACCTTAAGGTATTCTTGTGAGCAACTGGAGCAATTTCACTCATTAAAATCCAAAGAGTTTGAATGACAAAATTATGATTATTTATGCTCTATATGATTATTTATGTTCCTCTCAGTAGCTATGTGTTACCTGTTTTTGTTTTGTTATAAATAGTATATTTGGTCATCTTTATTGATGACCTTGTGTATATTTAGTTGTAGACAATGATACTGAGGTGAACTGATATAGATTTATTTAGAATCCTCAGCAAGGAAAATTTCAACTTTAATCTTACCTGGCAAGAAGTACACAGTCCACATCTTTGATAGTGCCAGTAACAAGAACATCTGAGGGCTAAATAAAACATAACATGTGATAGTTCATAACAAATATTCAGGATTCACAACATAATTTTCTAGGTCAATTTATTCTGACATTCATTCATAACCATTTTGTAAGTTGTTTTATTCATATTTATTCCTCTTGTAGTACATTATTAACATGACTTCCTCATCAAATTTTTTTATAAAGATAATTTACAAAGGAAATTAGATTCTTTCGCAATTATTCACCCAAACATGGAAAATCAACAGCTGACAGGACAGTCAACTATTTCAGGACTTGGTATAATTTTATTTGCTCTGCAGTTTTGAGGTTTGTGAGCATCTTGTGCTGTATTTTGGTGTGCATTTTTCTGTATGTTGGTGCACAATGGGCTACATTTTTCTGTGTGTTGGTGCCCAATCGGCTGGTGTACTACACTGGTCCTGTTTTCAGTTCTCATTTTCATGTGAATGTCTAGTGTAGTTGGTATCAAATCAGCCTTACATGACTTTTTGTTTAAAAAAAAAATGTAAATTGTAAATTTCAGCTCTTAGCACACTTTCAGGAATGGACCAACCAAGTATTAATTATTTGAAAAACACAAGAGTAATAAAAAGGGTAATACAATTAGTTGTAATTAAAGCAGTAGATTTATGGATTAGATTGCCGGGTGGGGGGGGGGGGGGGGGGGGGGGAACTAAGATGGGGTTTGTGTTAGGGCCAGTTGTAAATGTTTTAGGGTCGTTAAAAAAGCCCACATCGTGGAATATAAAACACCTGATATTGTCAGCAGCTGGAAAGCAAGGTATTTTATTCATTTTGTGGGTGGGTAGGTGGATGCTGTTTTGCAATTTGTTTGTGTGTGAAACTCTACGTGCAATCGGAGAAACTCGATGTGCAATCAGAGGAATTGCCAACTGAGGGTACTGTAGGGGGCTCTAAAAAGGACCAAACATCCTAGATGTATACTGCTGAGTTGAGGCAATGATGCTGCTAATTTTAGGAAATTCATGGCGATGAAGACTGGAACAAGAGGCCGCAAACACAAGTTGCTGGAGACAAAGACAAGTCTCTGGAGAGAAGACGCGTCTGGAACAAGAAGCGTGCCAAAGCCTTGGCAATGTAGGAAGACAGCTGAAAACACACTAGAAAAGCTCTATCTTACCACCCCTGAAATTATTTGACTGTCCTGTGATGCCACTGGGGTGAATATTGGGAAAGAACCGGAAATTAACATACTATCCTTGTATATATGAAGGCCAGAATCTCAAATGTTCTCTGTAAATTACTGAATTCAACACAGGAATTAAAATAGCCTTCTGTCTCTGGTACTTTCAATATTTCTGATAGCGAGGTTCCTCCATGCCACGATGACAATATTCCAGCACCTTCTCTCTTGGTCTTTCCTCCCCTCCCCTTTTCCTGTTGTCAAAAAGTACTTCAACTTTCCCCTTCTCACTATGTGACCAAAGACTGTCTTATTGGATGCAAGTAACAAGTATGTGTACACTGGAAGCCTGACAGAGAAATACACTGAAATGGCTGTATTTGTTCTAGCTGTGCAGTGACTGTTAACATAAAAGATTTAGAATAAATCAGACAATTAGTTAACTAACTCAGTATTCTTAATCATAAAATTCAAATTATGTTTCCGTATGGTGAATTAAAAATTTTATTTTAGAAAGCAACCCTATAAGAAAGCAGAAAGTAAGGCAGGTCCAGTAAGAGATAAATATTTGTCCATCAGCATATCAGTATAACAAAATCAGCACTGTAGGTAAAATGCAAGCATAACTCAACAACATTCTTCTTCTTCTTATCGTTAACAGGCTGTAAACTTTGGCAGAAAGTTCTGCTGGTTGTTTGTCCAATTCTAGACTTTGGTCGTGTTCCAGAACTTGCGTTTTGCATGCACATCCATTTCTCAGATCTGGCTGACCTAAATCTAGACTTTTGGGTTCCTCACCTCTAAAGTAGAGATGAACTCTGACCTCAAAGGGAACTCTCCTAATTAGTTACTTTTCACAACATGCTTGTTATGAGGGCAGTGGGTCTTCCCCCCCCCCCCCCCCCCCCCCCTCAATCATGAAGACCCAGAACCCACATGGTGATACTGACAACATTCAACAAGCCATTACTTTTCCAAATGGAGTGACAACAGATTTCTCCTGCCGATTCTCCAGCAGGTGAGGGTCATCTAGACCTGACCCTCCAATGATGCCAATCTGTCAAAGACAACAAGAACAGATATTTATGACACATACAAGTGTTTCTGTTTACACGCCCCTATTAATGTATACAATAAATATCTCATTTTGATTGTATACAGTAAATCTCTAGTATCTGTGAACAGAGTAAATCACTAGTAATGTCCTATGGTCTCTGGGTAGTATGATCAAACGCCCATGTGTAATGTTGCGCATGTAAAAAAAATCCTTTGGCAGTTGGAAATCAAAAAGAGAAGCCTAACTGTTTCTTTCGCCCAGGCAAAATTTTGAGTTTAAAATCTAACTAAAGTATTTTAGGATCCTCGCCGGTGCAACAGAGTTTGTGCACTTAGCTAAAATTCTTCAGGCTCAGGCTTGAGTTAAAAGTAGAATGGAGCACTTATGGGTTACAACCATGTGTCATGACATTGATCCATCGAATGAACATAAACTCTAATCCTCCTTATCATTTGATTGGCCTTTTAAACTCAAGAAATGTCACCCTGACGTTACAAAACGATTCATTAGTGCCCCAATCTACCAATAAGTATTACGTTTCCAACTTTCTCTTTCAGTTCACACTTTATATTATCCAGTGGTGTTAAAATGTTTTTCCTTAGGTTCCCATTAAAAGCCACTCGTTAGTACTCCAATAAGTCATTCATTAGTGCTGCAATCTTTTCTTTTAGATCACACTACAGAACCATCCATTATAGCCTTGATCTATCCCATTGTAACAACCAACTATTCATGTTTCAATCTTGTCTATGATCATTCTATAAATCTACTAGTTAGTGTTCCCTTTTCTCTTTCATGTCACACTATTTGCCCCATGTCAGAACTTTAATTTCCACAAAATAATACTACAAGACCATTTTTAGTGATCCAAGCTCCTCTTTCAGATCAAACTAGTGGATTCGTAATTCAAAGCATAACATTATAACATCAATGACAGTGCTGTATTTGAGTTGAGTTAAGTCGAGACACAAATTGACATCACAGCACTCGGGGCATTCGCATGCGTGCTCCGTCCTCATCTTCAGCAGTCAGCACAGAGTTTCAATACTAATGGTACCAGTCAAAATTTGGTTATATGTCCGTCTTGCCTTTCCTCTGAGTGTAGTGAGCCGGCAAGACCCTCTGGTTACACCCAGGTGCCTCATTCTCTCCAGGCCATAAGTATCTTGTTTCTCTACTTATTCCGTTGCTGGTTAAAAAGGGCCTTGACCACATCTACCTTGTCATGCATCATTTCACCACCCAGTGGTGCAGATCCAGCCAATCTGTCTGCCTGTTCATTACCCACTACGCCAGCATTGCTTGGAGAAAAGATCTAAAATGCTGTATTTATGACCTCTAACCATAGACAGATCTTTTCAAACATCGAACATGTGAAATATGCACAAGGAACTTAAGATTTTGCTATTTTCTTATAGGAAATTAAAATAATGTGGCATACAATGTACATGTGCAAATACACTCTGATGTTGCAGACAGATTTTGATTACAGAACAGGCAAAAGAAAACATACTGGTCATCACTATTAAATATATGTAACTTGAAAAGTTGGAGTCTCTTGCATATGTCTGTCATGTGGCAAAGGTTTTATACCTTTTCTGTTTCTGCCCTTCTTTATCCCTTTGTAAACATACTGTGTATGTCATTGATAAAGCCCATTAATTTATGATGCTTCATTCTGGACTCTTCTGTCCAAGGTTGGCAGTGCACAACTCTGTAAAAGATGAGTTCAAGGTTCTTAGTTTTTAACCCCAGATGGAGATGCATCTGTATGGGATATTTTGAGATAGTACTTAGGAATAAAAGGTTGTTTCTGTGTCCCTTCTTGCAATCTTTACAGGTCAGAAACCCAACAAACCCAATCTACCTCTAGCACACACACACACACAATTGTCTTCACAAATGATCCTTCATACATACTTTTACTTTTGACATTTGCAGTGAGGACTACTTGTGGCAGTTGTCTTATATATTTGTTAACCTGGAGATGAAACAAATGAGAAATCAAAATATACTGACATTAGTTTTTGAAAACAAAAACACAAAAAACATGCAAACATATGTATAAATATAAAGGGTCTGATGTGTCAGTTACTAGGTATTTTGTCAGTTGTAGTCATTTTTATTTTGAAGATGAGGAAAAAATACAGAGAAAGAAGAGGCATAATTATATTAACTGCTTGCTGTGTTTGATTATACTTTAATATTATATTAATACTTAAAAATACTTAAAATAGCCAGAGGATTCGTACACAAACAACATTTGTGAATTTGTCTGGGTTGTAATGAGGAGTCACAGATAATCATAATGTCTTGGCAATAATACAGAAAACCCTATGTTAAAACCCTATGTACGTGGCTGCATGCAGCAGCGGGATTGTGTCAAGTCACATGTGGTAAGGTTTGATTTTGTAATGTTTCCCTGAACCTGCCCGTTTATATCTTTCTGTTAGTGGGTAAAGAAGTTTCAAGTTACATTTCATTATGCTGTACGATGCCTTTTCCTTGCTTGCTTGTGAACAATTCCAGACATCAAAATCTATTCAACCCTTTACTTTACATTACAGACATTAATTATAGGCACTACATTATCACTAAAGAAAAAAAGTTTAACACAAACTACCAACAGTCACAGAAATAAGTGACCTCTTTCTTTGCCAGGCCTCGAGAAAACACAAGACTCGTGAGAAGAATATGTCAGGCAGTATCTCCACATACTCAGTAAACTAGGAAGGCTCAATCTTTAGTTAATCTATATCTTTAACAACGCATACAGTGAAAATGTGCTACGTTGGCACTTACCTATTCCCAACGATGCTCTCAGTTGTTAGCTAGCTGACTTGGCACTGGCAGTAGTTTGTAGTTAATGTTGCAGACTTGTCTTATCTGAGCCTGGTGTGTAGTCGTCTGCATGACCCCAGCCTCCAGCTTTACACGCTACGGCTCCGTACACGGTCACAGCTGCAGGAACTGTCAACCATCTACTATTTCTACTAATGATTTCACAGGTTCAGTGCGAAGACAATGGCTTGAATCATTACAGAAGTCCACTGTTCGTGGAGTCACCTTTATTTTTGTTCCGGGACACGCAGGCGTCAATGGAAATGAAAGAGCTGACAGGTTGGCTGGATCCGCTATCACTACCGACGGTCAGCCTATGGATCATGCTGATATTATCAATGCCCTCAGAGAAATGGGAAGAATAGAGGACTTTGGTGGCAGTGAATCCACATCACTCGCCAGAATGGCAGACTTGGGAATTAAGATCGGCACAGCAAAAAACGAGATGCACACCAGCTACGCCAGAAGACTTGTTAATCAACATAGAACTGGTACTATTAGCCATCGGACGTTGGGGTTCATACTGAGGGGAGGATCTGAGCACCTATGGACATGTCCGGAGTGCAATGAGGATAACCCAACTAACTAACTAACTAACTACTAATGATTTCATGAAGGCGCCTATCAGAATTGATTCAACATCCTCATCGTCACCAATTTCCACTGTTACAGTTGAGCGCCGCATGGGGGAACAGTGTGAGATCCATTACTTGATGGGTAGTAAATGGCTGTTATAATTCTGTTTCGATGTAAAAAAGAAATTCAATAAGATCAATCCATATTCTCATGGGGCGACCTGGCGAGATGACCAAACATTTGATCTTTGTTTTTTCAATGAATTTGTGCATGGTATTGTTCCCACAGTCTGTTTGTTAATATAATTTTCCCTTTATCTCGAATGGTTAAGTTAGTGGCTTTCCTCGGGCATCTCAATTCACATGTGTTAATTTTACGTAGGTAGCCTTTGATAATATCCAAGTGTGGCACTAGATGTATAGTGTTGATATGAATATGTTGTTTATAAGCTGTTTCTTGGCGGTAATACTTATCTACCTGCTGAGGCCACCAAGGCAGCAAGAGCAGCAGATGCAACATGGTGGAAGAGAATAATTCAGGTGGTATAGGAAAATCAAGAAACACCTTCAGATTGGCAAACTACTGTCATCGTCCCGCTATGGAAAAATTAAGAAAGTAAGAGGGACTGTTTTAATTACAGAGGAATATCGCTTCTCAGTCACACTGGGAAAATGTATGCTAAAATTATCGAAAGAAGGGTAAGACCACGTCCGGCTTTATATTTATATCCAGAGTTGGCCGTTTATAAGACCAATGATAGAGTATCAACTTTCAGTAGCACAAATGGGCTATCGACGAAATAGAAGTTGCACAGATACCATATATATGTACTTTAAACTATAAACTTCATATTCAAAATTTGCTCAAATTCTCATTTTTTAATTAAGGAAACTAAATATGCTGCAATCGGAAAATGCTGCATTTTTTTCACAGCCGAATTATATAGGCAAATACAATAATAAATTCACTACATGGATGAGAACATTGATCTGTGATTCTGGTGATAATGTTGGGTCATGAATTATGACCACCTACGATTATCTGCATGACACATGTTGCTGCATATGATTAATTCTTTGTGCAACTTATACACTCAGAATACAGTAGTCAGTCTTGGATGGGCTACATTTCAAATGTGGCCACTTTTGGTGTAGGAAACGCCGAGACATGTCCCTGTAGCGTGGTACCATGAAATTCTGGGCATGTGCTCCAACACTGACAACTGTATGCTGCAAACAAAGATGCAATCTGGCCTGTTCCAACCATAATGAAGACAAACCTGTATGGTACATTAGGGGATATGGACTGCACAATAGCTTTCATAAAGGCTACCGACCTCCTGATATAAGTTTTCTGACAGAAGGACCGAAGAGTAAAAAGAAGATTGCCAGTTTTCCTAAACAGTAAAACTCTAATACACATCACTAATCCGTTCCTGAGGGGAGGATGATTATTAGAAATGACAAATATTAAAAGTATTTTCCCCGAAGGAATTAACTAAAAATGATTTAATCCATTCTCAGTCGCCTATTTTGCCCATCAATTTTTTGACCAAAAAAATCTACTGAGAAAGCCACGTAGAACCCAGTACAAGGTTATAAAAATAAACAAACGTCTAATCAGACAGCATGTGTTTGCCAGCCACAGCAAAAGGGTGTATATGAGATTCAGCTTGAATGTAACAGTGTATTTGGCGACGTGAGGAGTTCTGTTCTGAAAGAAGACAACTAGATGACAGCCTGACGACGATCTGATCCGAAATGGCATCCAACCAGTTTTCGATTGCTCAAGAAGTTGAACTACCATGCTTAGAGCTGCCGAAGCTACCATGGGGTGTATTCTCAATGGGAGGAAAAAGGACTGAGATGTATTGAGTGCGAACGAGAGAATACTCCAAGTTGATGTCTGAACAATGTCATATTATAATGCTGGACTTGCTAGTTCGTAGTGGACACTGACTGGACAAATGGTATGTGGAATTGTAATAAAACATATTATTGAGATATCGTCTTCTCGTACCACCTGTGTCTACCTAGAGTGTCAATCATGTCTTCAATAAGAATAATGCCCTAGAAACCAGCTAGAACACGGAGGAGACAACATCACACAATCATATACAAGCTTATTTGCCCTATTAAGAAGTTACAATAAACAATAATTCAAATACTTTAGAATCATTTATCAAGAAAAAGTTGACAAAGTTGTGCATGCTTTGTGCAACAATCTATATTGGTAGACAAACAGTCACTCTGCCAACAGATTAAGCTATTTGGTCACTTTTTGATATTCTTAAATACTTACTTTCCCATGTTTGTGTAACTATTCCTAGTTATGTCATATATTTGTATACTGTATATGTTCTGTTACCATTTTTCCCTCATTTGAAAATATTTGTTTTCACTGCACCAACAAATCTTACTGTTTTGTTCTTTGATATCGCTCTTGACATTTATTTAAAAAAAAAACATGTATATGTTTAAATAACAAAAAGTATTTTAAACAGTAAAAATAAATTAATAACAAAAACGAAATATTAAAATTTATTCAGACTATACATACAATCTGTACACATCTCAAGCACATTTAAATTATTGTTACTTTTTGATAAAACTTGCTTTTTAAAGAAGTTAATCTTAAAAGAAAGATTTGATATGAGGGGCAGTCGTACCAGTTTAATGGAATGTACTTATATGATCACAACAATGCTTTCCGAAATATATCACAGAATGAAATTAAACAGAAATTCAATAAAACCTTTCTGATTCATTCATCTTTTGAAGAGAGTTCTGTGCCTAAAAAGGTATCTAACACTGACTTTAAATGACCCTGTTGGCTAATGATGCAGAAAAAAGCTACGCTGTTTGCCTGTTAATTTCATTAAATGCCTGCCCACCCTGGAGAAAATATCCAAAGGAAGCTACCTATACGGGACCAGTGATTCCTGCCACCCTGCATAGCCTGCCACCCTGCACAGCCTGCCACCCTGCATAGCCTGCCACCCTGCATAGCTTGCCACCCTGCACAGCTTGCCACCCTGCATAGCCTGCCACCCTGCATAGCCTGCCACCCTGCATAGCCTGCCACCCTGCATAGCCTGCCACCCTGCACAGCTTGCCACCCTGCACAGCTTGCCACCCTGCATAGCCTGCCACCCTGCATAGCCTGCCACCCTGCACAGCCTGCCACCCTGCATAGCCTGCCACCCTGCACAGCTTGCCACCCTGCACAGCTTGCCACCCTGCATAGCCTGCCACCCTGCATAGCCTGCCACCCTGCACAGCTTGCCACCCTGCACAGCTTGCCACTCTGTATAGCCTGCCACCCTGCATAGCCTGCCACCCTGCATAGCCTGCCACCCTGCACAGCCTGCCACCCTGCATAGCCTGCCACCCTGCACAGCCTGCCACCCTGCATAGCCTGCCACCCTGCATAGCCTGCCACCCTGCACAGCTTGCCACCCTGCACAGCTTGCCACTCTGCACAACCTGCCACCCTGCATAGCCTGCCACCCTGCATAG